TGACTGCATAGTCCAGTATGGTAGGTACCATATGTAGCTATTGAGTACTTGAAACATGGCTAGTCTGTATTGAGATGTGCTGTGAGTATAAAATATATGTGGATTTTAAATAGTAAGAAAGAAAAAAAGTAAAAGATCTAATTAATATTTTGTTATATTGATTAAAAGTTGAAATGGTAATTCTTTGGTTGTATAAGGTCAGTTAAAATGTGTTATTAAAATTAATTTCACTTGCTTTTTTTCACTTTTTAAATATGGCTGCTAGAAAATTTCAAATTACCTATGTGGCTCATGTCATCTTTCCATCTTATGCGTTCTGGGTCCTGTTTCCTCTCTTACCACATCTCCTACAATTTTTCTCATCTTTGTTCACACCATTTCAACCACACTAATTTCATTGCTTAGAACAGGCAAAGTACATTTCTGCCTCACGTCCTTTGCACTTGCTAATGTGTCTGCCTGGAGCTCTCTTTCTCAATGTCTGTGTGACTCACTTCCTTGCTTCCTTCAGGATTCTGCTCAAGTCACCTACCTTTTGAGAGATACTTACATGATCTATAGAACATCCCATCACTTTCACTCTCTACTCCCCTTAATCTGCATTCTTTTTCTTTTTCTTTTTTTATTTTTTTGAGACAGAGTCTTGCTTTGTTTCTAGGCTAGAGTGCAGTGGTGTGATCTCAGCTTACTGCAACCTCTGCCTCCCAGGTTCAAGTGATTTTCATGCCTCAGCCTCCTGAGTAGCTGGGATTACGGGTGCATGCCACCACACTTAGCTAATTTTTGTATTTTTAGTAGAGACAGGGTTTCACCATGTTGGCAGGATGGTCTCAATGTCCTGACCTCGTGATCCACCTGCCTTGGCCTCCCAAAGTGCTGGGATTACAGGCATGACTCACCGTGCCTGGCCCTGTTTTTTTATAGTACTTACCACCACTGATGCTTTTTTTTTTTTGAGATGGGGTCTCACTCTGTTGTCTAGGCTGGAGTGCAGTGGTGTGATTTCAGCTCACTGCAACCTCCACCTCCTGGGTTCAAACAATCCTCCCTCCTTAGCCTCCTGAGTAGCTGGGATTACAGGCATGCGCCATTATGTCTAGCTAATTTTTTTTGTATTTTAGCAGATACGGTGTTTTACTATGTTGGCCAGGCTGGTATCGAACTCCTGACCTCAAGTTATCTGTCTGCCTTGGCCTCCCAGGGTGTTGGGTTTACAGGCATGAGTCACTGTGCTTGGTGATGATGCTTTTGTTTGTAGTCCTGTATCCTGACTACTTAGTATAATGCTTGATACAGAATAGGCATTTACTAAGTTTGTGAAATGAATAGCTATAGATTATGAAGATTTTTATCTCAAGTTCAAGATTGACTTTTTTTGCAATAACGTTCAGGTTCCCTAAATATATAAAGAGTAAAATAAACTCTAAATTACCTATAACTACATGAAATTCCCTAAATAAGAAAACAGGCCAGCCATTGTGGCTCAAGTCTGTAATCCCAGCACTTTAGGAGGCTGAGGCTGGAGGATGCTTGAGCCCAGGAGTTTGAGACCAGCCTAGGCAACATGGTGAAACCCCATCTCTACCAAAAAAATAAAATAAAAATTTAGCTGAGTGTGGTGGGTCATGCCTGTAGTCCCAGCTATTTGGGAGATTGTGGTGGGAAGATCACTCCCCTGTGCCTGGGAGGTTGAGGCTGCAGTGAGCTGTGATTATGCCACTGCATTCCAGTCTGAGTGACAAAGTGAGACCTGTTTCAAAAAAAAAAAAAAAGCTTTATAAAATAATATGGAAAGGCTGCTTTATTCCTTTCAAAGGAATTAAGGTAAAATAAAAAACTCTGTACTAAATGTTTATATGTATATGCAATTAGTAGTATGGAGAGTTTTAGAGATACTGGTAAGGAATTCAAGGAAGTAATAAAATATAGATCAAGAGATACTTAAGAGTCAGAATGACTTTTTCCAGTAGGTAAAATCCTATTTCTCAAAGGAATTTTTCAAATTCTTTTGTTGCTCTGACATTTTAAATTGTATTAATAATAATCCAGTAAATTGGACCATGTTAAGGAGCTTAGAAATTTTTGGGATACACTGAAATTTTTGTTGTGCTGATAATTATAACAAAACTTAATCAGTTTATAAAATAAATTTTTGAAAGCAGTCATTATTCTTTATTCAGGCTTAAATGATGAGGCACAGAAAGGAAAAAAAAAAGGAGAAATGAGGGCTATTTTTAACTTTGTCCTAATTATTAAAATGTAAGGTGACTATGGCCACGTGCCGTGGCTCACACCTGTCATCCCATCACTTTGGGAGTCTGAGGTGGGTGGATTGCCTGAACTCAAGAGTTTGAGACCAGCCTGGGTAACATGGTGAAATCCTGTCTCTACTAAAATACAAAAAATTGCCGGGCACGGTGGCTCACGCCTGCAATCCCAGCACTTTGGGAGGCCGACGCAGGTGGATCACAATGTCAAGAGATCGAGACCATCCTGGTTAACATGGTGAAACCCCATCTCTACTAAAAATACAAAAAATTAGCCATTCATGGTGACACATGCCTGTAGTCCCAGCTACTCGGGAGGCTGAGACATGAGAATTGCTTGAACCCGGGAGGCAGATATTGCAGTGAGCCGAGATCATACCACTGCATTAATGCGTGGGCAACAGAGCACAACTCTGACTCCAAAAAAAAAGATAGGATGATTAAATGTCCCAATGAAATAAAAGCAAGGGGATCTTCTCCTCAATATATTTATTAGGTTGGTGCAAAAGTAATTGCTTTTTTATTACTTTTATGGCAAAAAAAAACCCCCGCAATTACTTTTGCACTAACATAATGCTTTTCTCTTTCAATTTCAGTCTTGAGCACAGCATCCCTTTCTGTAACTGGAAAAATGAAATGACACCAATATGGTATATGACAATTTGGACTGCCAAATTTAGTTCTGAGTCAAGGTCTTGCTCTGTCACCCAGGCTGGAGTATCCAGGCGTGAATGCAGCTCATTGCAGCCTCCACCTCCTGAGCTCAAGTAATCCTCCCACCTCAGCATCCCAAGTAGCTGGGGCCACAGGTGTGCACCACCATGCCCAGCTAATTTTTGAAGTTTTTGTGGAGACAGGGTCTCCCTAGGTTGCCCAGCCTGGTCTCAAACTCCTGGGCCCAAGTGATCCTCTCACCTCAGCCTCCCAAAGTGCTGGTATTACAGGTGTAAGCCACTATGCCTGGCCAGACTGTGAGATGTAAATACATGAAACTGACAAATCAAGGCTAGAAGTTCATTAAAGAACTTCAATACTTAAAAAAATTTTTTTTACAACAAGATCTTCAAGGTAAACCAATACTTTTAAAGTGTATCTCCAGTGGGCTTTTTGGAGATATTATTTTGTACTCATTTAGAAAACATTTATTAAATGTATATTGTGTGCTAACACTGTCCCAACTACCCAAGGATACAAAATTATACTTTTATAGTAGCTATCCTTTACCACAGCTAACAATGTCAAGTATGTCCTTTACAGGGATTTTCTCAGTCAGTTTGCATAGGAGAGGTAATTTTACTATTCTCAACACACAAATGAAGAGACAAAGACTTCCCAGAGTTTCACTTTCAAAGAATTCACCACCTCGAGAGATTAAAAACCAGCATAAATTTAATAGAAGGTGCCAAATGCTACAATAGAGAGTGCAGAAGGATTGCCTTTAGGGGTGGCAATGAGGGAAGGCCTTCCACAGGATAGATGCTTGTCCTGAATTTGACAGGGGTAGGAGTTTGCAGGGTGGAGAAACCAAAGTGGCAATTATTGCAACCACATGCAAAGGCACTAAAATCTGGAATGATTTGAGCATTAGTGAAATCTTTTCCATAGGTCTTTGAGTTATTCGTCATGTATCATACATTTTGGGCAATGAAGGATCATCTGCTTGAGTTATTGCTGGGGCCCTGAACTGCTGTCAGGGCCTGTTAGAATCAGAATATTGGTTAGAACTTCACATCCTAGGCTTGGGCTTTAAACTTTGCAGGTGAGTCAGGCAGATTCCACACTGAGTAGCACAGAGATTAGGAAAACAGATTCTGTGCCAGACTGCCTGAGTTTAATTCTCAGCTCTGTCACTAATCACCAGTGAATGTGACCTTGAAAAAACCACCTAACATTTTTAGGATTTAGCATCTTTATTTATAAAACGAGAACAGCAACAGAATCTACTTTACTGTAGGGCTGTTATAAGAATTAAAGGCATTAAATAGATATAGTTCTGAAAACAGTGCCTGGTACATAGGAAACTACATAAGTGTTAGTTACTAGTATTACTTGAGACTGGCATTTAAACAGAGAGCTACTTTGTTCATTCGGAATAAACTTTGTTCCTCTCTAATGTTGCCCCAGTTTTCTAGCATAGTACTTTTTAAGTGTTAACATACCTGAGAAGATAAATTTTGATTCAGAAAGTTGTTTGGAGGAAAGAGGCATAGAATATTTAATTCAAGCTCTGGTAAAGGCCAGTGAGATATTCCTACACCATAATAAAGAAAAATTCACTATTGATTAGATTACTTCTGTCTCCCAGAATTATTATCTTACTCCTGTGTTTCTTCCTGCCCAGCCATGTATAGCTAGTAGCTCAGGGTGGGGAGAAGATAGAATCTGGAAAGAATCCCAGAAGTGCTAGACGTTAAGTTAAGATCATTTTGCTGATATACTCAGGGTGACCTGTTTTAAAGAACTACTATGCTCTATTCCACTAACTCCCTTGGGTGGAATGTGGCTTGGGTTCCTAAGCTGTGGAAGGACTTTGGAATAGTCAAGGAACTCTAAGAATTGCTAAATGTCCCTGACAGACCAGAGAGAAGGAAGGTTTTACTATAGAATTATAATTCTTTTTTGTTTAAGACAGTGTCTTGCTCTGTCACCCAGGCGGGAGTGCCGTGGTGCCGTCTTGGCTCACTGCAGCCTCAAACTCCAGGGCTCAAGTAATCCTCCCACCTCAGCCTCCTGAGTAGCTGGCACTACAGGTACATACCACCACACTTGGGTAATTTTTATATTTTTTGTAGAGATGGGGTTTTGCCATGTTTCCCAGGCTTGCCTTGAACTCCTGGGCTCAAGCAATCTGCCCATCTTGACCTTCCAAAGTGCTGGGATTACAGCCTGAGCTACCATGCCTGGCCTACTATAGAACTGTTGTTACATTCTTTGGAACCCTCTACTAAGTAGAGGTGGCTCAGGAAATTTATCTTGTGGCTCTCAAAAACATGTTTTTCTAGGTTGGGCTTAAAGACGATGCTTCTGCAAACCATCAGAGATTCATGACACGTTGGGTTGAAAAGACTGTCGTGGGATAGGGTTTATGTGCCCAATAACCTTGTCAGTCTTAAGTCCTCCAAGATGATGGCCATAAATGCTTGAAGAAGTGAAGGCAATATACAGTCCAAATAACAGTTCAATGTGTTCACACTGGTCAAGCCTTGTCTGGAAGGTTTTCTGCTTGGTTCCTTCTGGAATAAAGGTAAACTTGTAGAAACACTGGAGCTCTTATTTAATAAAGATCCTCTCGTTCCAGGGAGCTGGTTCAGAAGGCCAGAGACCAGTGGCATCCAATAACTCATGGGTGGACTGTTTGAGACTTCTACTGTTGCCATAGAAACAAACTTTACCTTTTCTCATTCTCATGAAGAACTGCTGGGGCTATCTCTGGGATTTCGAAGGACTTTTTATCCGCTGTCTAGAGGGAAGAGACAATATAAAGTGCCACGTTCTAAAAGAGAGAGTTTAGAGAAAGGACTGTTGTTGGGAAGTGGGAATCAAGGAAGGCCTCAAAGAAGACAGGATGCTTGTACTAAATTTTAAAGTTGAGGAGGAGCTTGCATGGTGGACAAGGGTTATAGCCTGCATAACCAAAGATCCAGAAATCCAAAGTCATCTGAATCTTAGTCAAAAAGTTTCACATTATACTATTAGCAATTTCAGTATATTTTGAAAGGGCCTAATACTGCAGGGCTGGGAAAGAGAGTAACTCTCCTGAGTGTTGAGGACAGGGGTTTGATAAATAGAATGGGACGGAGGAGGGCTGATGCTGCATCTGCCATTTTGTGATAATGAAGGAAAGGCCGAGGACACTGCAGAGATGTCAACCATGACGTCTTCCAGCTGCTGAACCAGCCACATTTTGTTTAGGACACTTGAGTTTTCTGTTATTTTTATAAAATGAATTCCAAATTAGGAAGAATTCAGTACGGTAAGTGGCGTGCTAAAGGTTAGAGACTCTGAAATATGAAACTGGATGACTAGAGGGTTTATAATCACAGGGTGTGAGGATCTGCAATTTTTAGAGGCTAGTAGTAACAGTGGAAAAATTGGTCAAATTATTATCTACACCTCTTGGGATCAAGACTATGTAATAACAGCACGGCTACAGTTTTAGGGAAAATGTTTGGAAACATCTCAGGTTTTCAATGTGTGTTACCTTTACTTGCTGTTGAAGAGACAGGAAGAGATATAATCAAAATAAAGTTGGTGACATTCTATTAAAATAAAGTAAAATAGACTTCAAAATTTGTGCCCCATTGAGTTCCACCTTCCATCATGCCCTCTTCAAAGACATCTTCCTCATCCTTCAAGAAACAGGCAGCATTCGTCATCCCAGATGCTGCTCTCAAGGAGGGGCTGAGTGGCAATGCCCTCAGCAGCCCCAGTACACCTGAGCCTGTCGTGGGCACCTGTGACAACAAACTAGATGTTGACTACATCAAGAGGTACCTAGGCGATTTGACTCCACTGCAGGGGAGCTGCCTCATTAGACTCTGCTGGTGGCTCTGGGAGACCCACAAGGGCAAAATTCCAGAAGATGAGCATATTCTTCAGTTCTTACGTGGGTGGGATTTTAATATTGACAAAGCCAGAGAGATCATGTGTCAATCTTTGACATGGAGGAAGGAGCACCAGGTAGACTGCATTCTTGACACCTGGACCCCTCCACAGGCCCTTCAGGATTTCTACATGGGAGATTGGCATCATCACGATAAAGATGGGCAGCCCCTCTATGTGCTCAGGCTGGGGCAGATGGACAGCAAAGGCTTGGTGAGAGCACTCAGGGAGAAAGCCCTGCTGAGATACGTTCTCTCCATACATGAAGAAGGGCTAAGGTGATATGAGGAGAATACAAAAGTCTTTGGTCGGCTTATCAGCTCATGGACCTGCCTGGCGAACTTGGAAGGGCTGAACATGCATCACCTGTGGAGACCTGGTGTCAGAGCACTGCTGTGGATCATCGAGGTGGTGGAGGCCAATTACCCTGAGACACTGGGCCGCCTTCTCATCCTGCAGGCGCCCAGGGTGTTTTCTGTGCTCTGGATGCTGGTTAGTCCATTCATTGATGACAACACCAGAAGGAAATTCCTCGTTTATGCAGGAAATGACTACCAGGGTCCTGGAGGCCTGCTGGATTACACTGACAAAAAGATTATTCCAGATTTCCTGAGCGGGGAGTGCAGGTGTGAAGTGCCAGAGGGTGAACTGGTCCCCAGTTCTCTGTACTGCACTGAAGAGGAGCTGGAGGATGAAGACCACAAGCTCTGGACTGAGACCATTTACCAGTCTATAAGCATCTTCAAAGGAGGCCCCAAGAGATTTTCATTTGGATTGTGGACACCTCTTCAGTCATCACTTGGGATTTTGACGTGTGCAAAGGGGACACTGTCTTTAACATCTGTCACTACAAGAGGTCACCACAGCCATCCCAAAAGGACTCTCTGGGGCCCTCAGCATCACCTTTCCAGGTGGGAGCAATGTGTAGCTCATAGAAAAAGTCTGGCAGCTGGGCTGCGACTACAGCATGGTGATTGCCTCTGATCTGCAAAGAAGGAGAAGGCATGCAGGGCTCCCATGTGACCAGGTGGCGGGGCTTCTACAGCCTGCAGTGAAATGCCACAGCATGCCCGCATGCGCCGCCAGCAGCCTGCCCTGGGTGGACAACGTGCTTGCATTCCTGCAGGTCTCTTTGCACAAGTGTAAAGTGATGTACTACACGAGGTGATCGGCTCCAAGGATTTCAGAGGTTCCATGACAAGCCTGGAGTCCAGCCACAGTGGCTTCTCACAAGTGAGTGCCACTACCACCTCCTCCAGCCAGTCCCACTCCAGCTCCATGATCTCCAGGTAGTGCCACACCATCTGCACCTAGTGTGCAGAGGGGACGGCCACCCCTCCTTGGACAGCCAGCTGCACCCACCTGCCCAGCGGCGACACTGTACAGACTTCTCTCACCTCTAGACAGCAAAAAGCTCTCCAGATGGTAAACGTAGTCGTTTGATCCCAAAACTATCTTGGCAGGTAGTTTTAACTCTGATCCTAACTTAACTCAATAGCCATAGATTTTGGATACATTGTGCACAAAAACCTGATTTTTGTATCCATTAATCTTGTTAAACTCTTTTATTGTTAACAGTTTGTAGATTGTTTTGGATGTGGCACATGCGTAATTTTTTTTTTTTTGAGACAAAGTTCTGCTCTTGTTGTCCAGGCTGGAGTGCAGTGGCACAATATCAGCTCACTGCAACCTCTGCCTTCAGGGTTCAAGCAATACTTGTATGCCACTTGGGAAAGAATACACCAACACATTTGCATGTTTTTTTCTTTTTTCTTCTTTTAAGGAGATGACAAAAACCCAGTTTACCAGCTTTACTTTTTGAAACCTAAGCTTAACATTACGTATTTAAACAATTATCAAAAAGTTGCTATGTTGCCAGCATTCATGCACAACTAGAAAACACCCTTAATTTATATTAAACCAGAAATGTATTACCATTAATGCATTAATATCTTTTACTACTAAGTAGTGGAAAACATTGAAATTGTTTCTGTAGATTTGTCCTAGCAATGTTAACTTCACAGTAGGCCAACACTATGTGGCTCACATTTCAGACACAATGGAAAAGCAGATCCATGCCGGTATTAGTGGACTTTTATGTAGGTGCCACTTCAGTGCCAGTTTCTGATATGCCTTTTTAAGATCCTCGGGTGAGGCATGTCTCTGCTCACCTAGAACTTCATAGTAATATACCATGTTTTAAGAGATTGTTGGAATATGTTCAAGGATGGAGGTGGCCAGTGGCAGGACACAGGGGAGGCGGGGTGTTGGCCCAAATTGCCTCATGGCTCCACCTCTACTGTGCTGGTGGTGGCAGTTCCTCATACTTTCCTTTCTCTCTGATTTCAATTTTTAAAAATTATTGAGCTGGGCGCGGTGGCTCATGCCTGTAATCCCAGCACTTTGGGAGGCCGAGGCAGGTGGATCACCTGAGGTCAGGAGTTTGAAACCAGCCTGGTCAACATGGTGAAACCCTGTCTCTATTAAAAATATAAAATCAGCTGGGCATGGTGGTGCATGCTCGTATTCCCAGCTACTTGAAAGGTTGAGGCAGGAGAATTGCTTGAACATGGGAGGCAGAGGTTGCAGTGAGCTAAAATTGTGCCATTGCACTCCATCCTGGACAACAAGAGCTAAACTCCAGCTCAAAAAAAAAAATAATTGAGACTTGTTTTGTGGCCTAAAATATCTATTCCTGAAAACATTCTATGTTCTTATGAGAAAGATGTATATTGTGCTACTGTTGGATAAAATGTTCTGCAAATGTCCATGAGAACTTTTGATCTAAAGTGTAGATTAAATCCAATGTTTTTTTGTTGATCTTGTGTCTAGATTATCTGTTGAATGCTGAGAGTAGAGTGTTGAAGCACTCAGCTATTATTGGATTGGAGTTTCTCTCCCTTTAGATCTAATAATATTTGCTTTCTACTTCTGGGTGCTCTGATGTTGGGTGATATATATTTAGAATTGTTACATCCTTTTGCTTAATTGATGCCTTTAGCATTATATAATGGCATTTTTGATCTCTTTTTTACACTTTTTGAATTAAAGTCTGTTTTATTTGTTGTAGGTGTAGCTACTCCTGAACTTTTTTTGGATTTCTGTTTACACACAATATCCTTTTTCATCTCTTCCCATTTAATCTATATGTGGCTTTACAAGTGAAGTGAATTTTTTTGGTAGGCACATGTAGTTGGATCATTTAAAAAAAAACCCATTCAGGGCCAGGCACCATGGCTCAGGCTGGGCACAGTAGCTTACTCCTGTAGTCCCAGCACTTCGGGAGGCCAGGGCAAGTGGATCACAAGGTCAGAAGTTCGAAACCAGCCTGACCAACATAGTGAAATCCGGTCTCTACTAAAAATACAAAAATTAGCCAGGTGTGTGGCATGTGCCTGTAGTCCCAGCTACTCGGGAGGCTGAGGTGAGAGAATTGCTTCAACCCAGGAGGCAGAAACTGCAGTGAGCTGAGACCACGCCATTGCACTCCAGCCTGGGTGACAGAGTAAGGCTCTGGCTCAAAAACAAAAACAAAAACTCATTCAGGCAGTCTTTATCATTTAAGTGGGAAATTTAATCCACTTACATTCAATGTTATTATTGATAAAGGAGAACTTATTCCTATCAGTTTGTAAATTGTTTTCTGGTTGTTTTGTATATCCTTTGTTACTTTCTTCCTCTATAATTATTTATCATTGCAGTTTGATGGTTTTCTTTTGTTGTATCATTTGACTACTTTTTCTTTCTCACATGTGTGTCTGCTCTACCAGCAGGTTTTATATTTTTGTGTGTTTTGCTGATAGTATATATCATTTCAGCCTTTTCAGAAATAGGATCCCCTTAAGCATTTCTTGTAGGACTGGTCTAGTGGGTTTGAATTCCCTATTTTCTCTTCTTCATTTTTTGAAGGGTAGCTTTGCTGAAGACAGTATTCTTGGCATTTTTTTTTCTCTCCTGACCTCTAAGGTTTCTGCTCAGAAATCTGCCATTAGTCTGATGGGAGTTCCCTAAAAATGTGACTAGGCATCTTTCTTTTGCTGTTTTTGAAATTCTCTCTTTGTATTTGACTTCTGACAGTTCAACTATAATATGCCTCAGAGAAGACCTTTTTGGGTTGAATCTATTTGGAGATATTTGAGCTTCCTGTATCTTGGTGTCTAAATCTCTTGCAAGACTTAGAAAGTCTTCAGCTATTATTTCATTAAATAGATAATTATTTTTTTTAAAGACAGGGTCTCATACTTTTGCCCAGGCTAGAGTACAGTGGCATTATCTCAGCTCACTGCAACCTCCACTTCCTGGGCTCAAGGAATTCTCTTACCTCAGCCTCCTAAGTAGCTGGGAATACAGGTGCAAATCACCATGCCTGGCTAATTTTATTTTTGGTAGAGACAAGGTCTTACTATGTTGTCCAGGCTGGTCTCAAACTCCTGCACTCAAATAATCCTCCCACCTAGGCCTCCCAAATTGCTGGGATTAGAAGCATAAGCCACTGCGCCTGGCCATTAAATAGATTTTCTATGCCTTTGCCCATCTCTTCTTCTAGAACACCTCAAATTAAAAAATTTGGCCACTTTCTGGTGTCGCATATGTCAGATAGGCTTGCTTTCTTCTTTTTCATTCTTTTTTTCTTTTTTTTTTTTTGAGACAGAGTCTTGCTGTGTCACCTGTCACCATGCTGGAATGCAGTGGTGAGATCTCTGTTTGCTGCAACCTCTGCTTCCTGGGTTCAAGCGATTCCCCTGCCTCAGCCTCCTGAGTAGCTGGAACTACAGGCATGTGCTACCTGGATAATTGTTTTGTATTTTAGTAGAGATGGGGTTTCACCTTATTGGCCAGGATGGTCATGATCTGACCTTGTGATCCATCTGCCTCAGCCTCCCAAAGTGCTGGGATTACAGGCATGAGCTACCGTACCTGGCCTCTTTATTTTCTTTTTGTGTGATTGAGTTATTTCAAAAGACCTGTCTTCAAGTCCAGAAATTCTTTCTTCTGCTTGAACCAGTCTATTGTTGAATCTCTTGATTATATTTTTTATTTTATTAATTGAATTTTTCAGTTACAGGATCTCCTTTGGGTTCTTTTTTATCGTATGTGTCTCTTTGAGTTGAATTTCTCATTCAGATCATGAATTGTTTTCCTGAGTTTTACTGTTTACCTGTGTTATTTTATACCTCACTAATTTTCTTTAATATCATTATGCTAAATTCTTTTTCAGGCATTTCATAGATTTCCTTTTTGCAGCAATCTGTTGCTGGAGAATTATGTTCTTAGGAGATGTCTTGTTTCCTTGGTTTTTCATGTTTCTTGTGTCCTTATGTTAGATATCTGTGCATCTGATATAACAGTCATTTTTTCCAATTTTATTAATTGGCGGTTATAGGGAAAGACTTTTCTTATAGGTGTATCTACACTGTTGGCTGGGTAGGGTGCTTTGACTTTGATTCTGGGTGGCCATAGTAATGTAGTCTTTGTATGATTTATTTGGTTATAATCAGCATCAGTAGTGTCTATGAGTTCCTTTGTGGCTTACACTATGGTTGTTAGTAGAGGGAGCAGCTCTTAGGCTCTGGGGAGTGCAAGCTTCATTCAGCTCCCTTTGTCCCCGGGGCAGTCTCCTTGGTGCACTGCACTTCCTGTTTCTTGGGGTGTAAGAGACTACATGGGCTAGAATGCTGAAGACTTTGCTCTACTGCTGCGGCTAGCTGGTGTTGAGATGTTTCAGCCCTCTGGGTGGGCTTGGGAGGTCGTCAGAAGCACTCCAGGGATGTGGAGATACAAGAACTTTTGGGTTTCAGGGCAGAATGTAGTTTGGTGGGAGCTGGACTCTCCGAATGGTGTTGTGCTCAGAGCTGCTTGGATCTTAGGGGGTCTGTGGGATCTGAGCAAACTTTCTTTTTGGAACAATGCATTCCTGTGGACTTCAGGAAGATCTCTACACTCATCTTAGGGCCTACTTTGGTAAGAAGTTCTTCCTTGGCTAGGATTGCATAAGTCTGTGGTAGGAATGTGGACTCTTGGGAATCTCTTGCTTATAGCTTCCTGCACTGGGGAGTTTCTCCTGGCTCTGAGCCAATCCCAGCTCGACAGGCTACTTCTCTCTCCTCTTACTCCATGCCTTAGAAGTTCCTTGTCACTTTCCTGATGAATTCCAATGTTATCTCTCACTTTATTCTACATGTGATTATGTACTTACTGTTTTGGTCCTTCTTTGTGGTAGAGGTAAGTGCTAGGTGCCTGTAAGTCACCATCTTAAAGCTCTTTCCTCAGTGACAAATCTTAACATTGCAAAAA